TTTCCTGGCTGATACTGTAAGCCAAGAAGCCCTGGACGACAATTAATGTTTTCTTATCCAGAAGTTTCTGTGGATCAGCAGCAAGTCAGGTTATCCAGATCTCATCCTGATGGTAATCCCTCAGAGTACAGACACTCCTTGTCAAGAAAACGTTCTAAGGGAGAGAGCAATGGATATTTGAATGCATATGCTGCCTTCAGTCCTAATGGATTTGGGTTCCTAGATGGTACCCACAATTAGCCGGGCAGGGTTCCCTCTCTTGTAGACTCTGACCCTTCTAGTCATCCTTTATATTCAGAGCTTCTACACTGGATGCTACATCCAAAAATACCTCAAGCGACTTGGAGGTTGGAATTAGAGTCTGCCTTGCCTGGATTACTCATCTCCTGTCAATGAGTGTTTGTTGAATAATGGAACGCCTACTAAACATCACATTATATTCTACAGGGTGGAATAATTTCATAGACTTCACCAGCTTAATAGGTTTTGTCTCTCTTCACCTTGCCATGTTTTTTTTTGCTTGATTCCTGTTCTCTCTTCCTTTGATGAGGATGGGAGTGAGGATGGGAACCAGGCGTGCTGAATGCTATATTTGAAAAGCTTGAGACCCAGCATATGATTGTAAGTATTTATGACTGTTTTTAAATAAAATGTGTCTAAGGATTTTATACTGTGTGGTATTCCACTTCTTTCTCTGAGTATTAACTGCTATGGAGGAAAGGAGATATCTGTGAGCAGTGACTGATATTGAAGATGTGTTATGAGTGCTATCCGACCATTATTGTTGTTCCATCCCCCAAGTCCAGTGAGTGAGGGCAGTGCACATAAGAGCACAGAGTTTTTACAAGCGGATGATGGATTGTTTCTCACAAGTGTGGTTTTGGAGTTATATGAAGCACACTTGGATTGTTTATATATGCATTATTGGCATCCACTTGGTCAATCAAATGGACATTTTTTTTTATATTGTAAGGTTTTAACCTAAAAAGTATTATTGTGTTTTGCCTGAACTTATACAATGTTGCTCAGGAGACAGATATTTTCATCATATTGAAGCAATTTTGAAAATTCTGATTACTAAACATCCTACATATACTAAAACATGGCCATTAAATTATTTGTCAAAGGAAAAGATTGTGCTACAGTTAGATTGTAGTTCTATTCAATTAATCAGGTCTAATTCTTACTACTAAGTACACAAAAACATTAGTGTTTAAAGTAAAGACTATTGCTAAAAACAAACAAAATGAGGTATACAATTTACAAACAGAAAGGTCCATATATACCTATATTTTTCAGGAACAGTAGGTTAATACTGTATGTGTCCCTACTGTTGAGAGACACTATTTTATGGATGTAGTTTATTGGTCCTCAGTCAATATGGACCATTTCTGTAGCCATTTTGAAATTTAGTTGGACTGTTGGACATTCAGTCAGTTAACACAGTCCAACTTTAGATACACTAATCCAGGAGTATACAACCAGATTATTGATCCTAAACCTTGGTATTCATGGTTAGGATGTGGTAAAACTGAAATACGTGTAACTATAGGATCAATATCAAATGAAAAATATGTTTTTGTTCCTAATGAATGTTGCTCCTAATGAATGTAGTGTTCTCATAGTAAAGGCTGCAGATTTCCATATCCCTCAGTTGTCATCTCACTGAGCTGTATTAATAGAAGCACAGTTTGTGTGATAAACATGGAGGATAATGTTGTCTCATTTGAGTTGACTCATTAGTTCCTGAACACAAAGGCAGCAACAGCTGCAATTAAGGTTTAACCTTTTCACCCCCTCATCTCCTACAATACTGATCTCCGGCTTGTGTCTGTGTGATCTGTGTAATTGCCCCTTCACCTCCCATATCCTGAACATCTACCCATTAACTCCTTCTTCTCCATCCTTCCACTGTACGTGACCCATTTATCAACTCTTTCACTACCTCCTCCTTCTGTGTATGAGATGTATGTGCTGTATCTAGTGCACCGTTTACAATCATTAAAAAACAACTTTTGGCATACCTGTTCGGGCCATAATAATACAACACCCTTGCTGGTATAGAATAGAAAATATAGCAAATTGATTGGGGCTTTCAGGGTATTTTACATCACTAAAGTCCAGACTAATTAAAAAAGGTAAAAATACAATCTTTATTATTACATAGCGATAAAACAGCACATGAATAAAATCCTGTTCAAATCATCCCTCAACTACAGCAAAATATACACCAATGAGAGCCTCCATATTATACCATACTTAAAGAATTCAGGTAACTTCAAAACATCTCATTTGTATTTGCTATATCAGTATGTAGATAGTCCCACTTGAGGTCGTGTCTCAAATTCTCTACGCGTTTCACTCTCAAGTATAGGGGAGCTTCTTCAGGGGGGAGTTGCTCTACAGTGATAAATATATACATATGAACATAGGTCCAAAAATGAATGGAATAAAACAAAATGATTTCCAATAAATAATGCTATAATGCCATTACAATTTATAGTTATATCCTTGCCAACTCACATGGCCGGAGAGACAGCGAGGGACGTGCCAGTTTAAAATCAAACAGAAAACACCACCTGGATGAAGCTCGTCTAAAGGAGAACACCTCAATAAGGTATATACTTCACATGTATATGAATACTATGAATCAAACAGAACATTATCAAAAAATTAGTCTGAAAAGTGGATGCCAGTTCCAAAAAAAACATATTCCTAATATTCTGGAAGTATTCAGCACTTAAGATTATACTCCCCAGGACTATATACATCCCTATTTTAAAACTTTGAAAATACCAAGATAACAAAACGGCTTACCACACACCTGCAGACTTGTGCTTTCCTATTGAAACCAGTGTAGCATTAGCCAGATAATGTTTGAGGGCGCCATCCTTTTATATCCATTTACCAGGAAGTTGAATAGCCACATGATTAGAAATCATGTGACTAGCTATGGGGGTACCACATCGATTGGGCATGCGCAGAAAGAAAAAAGCACACGCATGAGCATAGCGTCTATCCCGGGGACGGAAACAGTCAGCCATCCAACAATAAGCGGAACAAAATATTAGGAATTTTTTTGGGGGGAGCAGGGACTGGCATCCACTTTGCAGACTAATTTTCTGTTTCATTCATAGTATACATATACATGTGAAGTATATACCTTGTTTAGGGGTGCTCCTTTGGACGAGCATCATCCGGGTGGCATTTTCTGTTTGATTTTAAACCGGCACATCCCTCCCTGTCTCTCTGGTGATGTGAGTTGGCAAGGTTATAACTATAAATTGTTATGGCATTATGATATTTTGTATTGGAAATCATTGTTTGTAATTCCATGCATTTTTGGACCTATGTTCATGCTTATATTTATCATTGTAGAGCAACTCCCTCCTGAAGAATCATCCATATATTTTAGAGTGAAACGTGTAGAGAATTTGAGCCTCGACGTCACGTGTGACTATCTACATCCTGATATAGGAAATACAAGTCATGTTTTAACCCCTTAATACCAGCATTTTTCATTATTTCCAAAAAATAAGTGACTATTTTCCAAAAAGGGGTAATTTTGGAGGTGTGCACACTGTCTTGATTTTCTTTTAACATAAAGTACAGGAAACCATTTTTTTTTCAACATTTCTGGTCTTTTTAGTATGTGGCAAAAAATGTAAAAACCCTTTCATATTTCAAGTGTATTTCCACTTTCGCAGCCAAATTGGGATAACACCTATTTTATATTTGTTATATGTTCCTATTCACATAGCATAAGCTAAAAAAAATGGTTCTTGCAGTTTATATTGCTTGTACTTGAGTTAGGGTTTTAGGGTTAACATTTCTTCTAGCAATATATATTGTTCTGGGTGGGATGAAATCTCCAGTCCTGGGGCCAGGTGTTGCCAATGACCAGTCTAGACTGATCAGGTGGCTGAGAGCAGCCTTAATAGGAATGTGGACCAGAGCTCAGCAGAGTAGTGGGTGTGCAGGAGGCACACAGCCACATTTATTAACATTTTATTGGTTATACTGTGTTTTATGTAATGCTGTTATACCTTTTTTGGATGTATCTATGTTAATTGCTAGCCTTATAAGCTCGCTAAGATTTTCAGTACAAGTTACTTATTCTAATTCTCCCATTTGTGTTAAAATAAAGCTTATGCTTAAGAATAAAAAGGAGTTGATTGTTCCTGGAGAGGGTCTTCGTCCACATAGCCAGGGGATTGTTTATGTTCTCTGATTGCAGGCATGCACACTGAAACACCAACTACCTTTTAATTATGCATGATATGTGGCTTTTATGAAATTTCTACAATTTTTACCTATCAGTGTTCTCTGGAGGCACAAGAGAAACTAATGTATTATAATATAAGCATAATGTTATAATTATAACCTTGTAATGTATAAGAACAAATATGAGAGTTTTTTGAATTTTTACTCACCTTACTAGCACCAGGAAGTAAATGTAATTTAACATATGGGTCAGACAGTCCATTGTGATCCATTGGTTTAAGGCCCTAGAATATAAAGTAGACAATAAGAATACTTCAAACAGTAGTTTTAAATGTCCAATCAACTTTCATTAGACAGCTGACATTTTAAATTATATTTGTAATTGCCTTTTTAAATGAAATATGACACTGGGTAAATGCAGCATGCTATTAGTTGTGTTAAGCTTGCATTTAAGATGTTTTGTAGATCTTTTTTTTAAAGTTCTTTCTAGAGGTGCTTCTGACCTCTTTCTTATGTGTTTCTGACCTTCTATGCTGCATCAACCTTCTTTTGCATTAACTTGGACTTGTGTGGAAGAAAAGCTGATATGACTGATATCCATGCATACACCAGCATATTCAATATTCCTATACTCTGGTATACTTACAGCCTAAAGTGTATCTATAAGCAAACTTTTGTTTTGATACAGAGGGGAAGGGTCTGAACCCAGCAAGCAGACAGAGAACAGGTACTGAGACAGCACATGTGCGTGTGAAACATTTGGTGCTAACATTGCTAATAATCGTGCTTCTGCGTGCAGACGAAGATGCAAATGTTCGCGCGCAGATTGTTGTGCACATGCTCACATCTAATCAAGGCGACAAAAGGCCTATTTCAACTCGCATCCTGCATGCACTCAGTGCTAAGAGTTCTTCAGCTAGTGTCCAGCGTTGATTCCTGATTGCTCCTGTATCTGACCCAGCTTGATCCTCTGACTCTGCTGCTCTCCCCCTGCCCTGACCTCGGCCTATTCCACTACTCTGCCGCTTGCCTGCTGATTTGGTACCGCTTCAACCTGCATGGCTTGACCTTGGCTTGTCCTGACCCAGCTTCTGCCTTCTGATTATGTACTGCCCCAAACTGAAGCATATGTGTTGATCTCGGCTGAGCTCCTCAGCTGCCTTGAGCTGCTGTACAGTCTATTATGAATAGCCCATACAGCAGACCTCCGGTTCGGCTGAACCAAAGACTTCCGCAGCCGAAGCAAGTGGAAGGATTAGCCGAAGGCCCAGCTCTATCCTTTGGCTCATTAGGGAATAACCTCCTAAGTGATGTAAAGGTTTGACGACACACATTGTAGGACATTGCACTAACTTTTCCTAGAACATTATTAGTTTAGGGTATCCAGTCTTGTACATTAAATGTTATTGCAGTCTGGAAATAACAACATAATTAATGATATGTAATAATGAAAGCCTACACAACCATGAGTATTCCTATGCTCTGTGTGTTATACAAATAAGTATTCCCAAAGAATCTCATAAAAGGTTCTTCTTAAGATAAGCTATGAGGCTGAATTCCTGTGGAGATGGTTTAAAACTTCTTAAAGGCCACCAATTATCCCATCCTAATTATTATTATTATTATTACTACATAATAACTTAGATGTATATTTTACCACTTTTGAAATGATTCGTTCATATTTTAGATACTACTTGATGTCACTTTTGAAAAAGTAATTATGTTTTTAGATGTGTCTTAAGGTGCCCATACACCTTACAATTTATCAGCAGATTTTCTGTGGTCAGATGGAAAAAGCTGCTCTGCCAATGAGCAACAACCAAAAGATGTCTGCTATTACCTTTATAAGCTAGCAAACCTGGAGTTCGTCTTTAAATGAGTACAGCCTTTCCACCTTCTAATGTTGACATAGAGTATCTACTTTTGTTTACATTAGATTAGAAGACTGGAATGTTGCTTAGTCACTGCTGGGATAGAGAACAGAGTGAGATACGGCTCCTAAAGATTTGACTACAACCCCACCAGAGTACCTTATTTATAAACTTTAAGGATGAACTGCTTTTCAGTGGCTGCAGTGAAAGAGATCAGTCAGTAAGGGCCTAATTTGGAGTACATTTACTGCTTGATAAGAGAATGCAAAAAGTTGAATGTCCATAGGCTGGTCACAGGTTACAGGTTACAGGTTACAGGTCACAAATTCCCTCTAGGATGAAACCCTTTTTTGCTACATTACAGCTATTCAATCATCCGTGAGACGTCACTAGAATTAGTAGCCTAACATACTTCAGAAAGGTCAGAAACCACTATGTGTGCCTCCTGATCATGTTTGCCTTTTTTTAATCTGAGTTGTACACTTTGTGAGAGTGTTTCTCTCCAGAACCAGGCTTAGACTGCAGGCTCAGGTGGTTGCAGATGATCAGAAACTGATCTTTTTGGTTCCAAATGACATCATTACAATAATTAGTTAACTACTTCAGCTCTCACACCTGTATACCCCTTCTGGCAGTTGATAACATGTGCTACAGGCCTATTTATTTATGATAACTCTGTCAGAACTTTACCCCCTTTCACTAAAAATAACATCACCATGCAGCTCTGCATGCTGATAGTTCTTCTTCACGATAAACAAATAATACATATATGATTTTTTCAGGATAAACAAGGCTTTCTTTTTGTCTTGCAAAAATTTATTTTTGCATTATGTAATCAATAGGCAACATAATACAACAAAAATATAGCTTTTTTTAATATTCACATTAAATGTTTTAGTATAGTAAAAAATAGTTAAATGTGAATAACTTTTGGTATGTTTTACCAAATGAAATTTTTAGAATATGCATAGAAAGAGGCTTGTATTGTGTAACGTTTAGGGGAAATCGGTTTACAACGAAGTTCTTTTTTGTACGTTAAGTCAAATTAAGCTCCCCAAGAAATAAGCTTACTGTCACTCTTTTGTGGAATACCAAAATCCATGAAACGTCTAGGATAGGTTTGGGAGGTTAAAAACCTAGGTTGTGCAAAGTTTTAAGGCAATTGATTGAGGTTTAGGCACTTTTTTTACACATTAAGCTACATTAAGCCATTTTCACATTAAATGTTTTAGGATGTCCCTCTCCTTACTCTTTCAGAGAGAAAGATCAGCTTGAGTCACACACACAAAAAGTAATAAATAACAGATGTTTGCAGACTTGATCCCCATTAGGGTGGTCGTTTATCTCTCCTGTTCTGGGATTATTTCCTTTCAAATGCAATTCAGTTCAGAATCAGATACATTTGTCCACTTTTGCTTTTACGTTGCTCAAAGGGTGTAGAATAGATTTTTGCCAATTACTACCTTCATTAAAACATTAATTTACATACACACATAGGATAAAATATATATATATTTTTATTTCTTCTCTGTCTCAACTGGGATTTAAGTACACATAGAATATTTTTCACTATCAGAATAAATCACTTAGGAGAACTTTACATATTGGAACATTCAAAGGGAGACTCAGTAAACAGGATGGCAATAGAGTGGATTTGGAAGCATCAAATTAGGGTTTTATTTAGAAATGTTGCTTTAGAATATAAGTTCCATTATAATTCTATCTTCCATTGTTAAATGGCTTTAAAATAGATTTTGTAGAGCGGATGTTTGGCATTCTGCCATTTCACACTAGAATTCTAACTATGTTGCTCTTATTGTATTAGAAAAAAAAAACAAGCTTTCCTCTATTTTCCTCTTTGAGAACTAATAACAGTTAATAAATAATGTTTAGAGCTTCAGCCAACATATTGTGTCTGCCCCAGAGCCTAGCCTGCATGCCACCCTGAAGAACTAGAGCTAGACAGTAAGAAGAATATAGCTAGTGATAAAGACACTTTAACCATTTGCTGACACCATGCTGTCATGCTCTAACAATGGGAGCATTTCATTAAAACCTTTGCAGGAATAATGGAATATGTGGACACTAGTTATAAAAAAAAGGAGATAAACTTTGGGGTTGACTTAATAAAGCAAAATAGACTGTTCACTTTGCAAGGGAATTTTCCTTTTAGATTAGTAATGCTCTGCCGACTTCCATCATCCAATCACACGCAAGCAAAAATACAGTTTTTTCTTAATTTTCCTTGCACATGATTGAGTATTCCTTTTTGCTTTTAGTAAATCAACCCCTTTAACTGTCCTATGTGCCATCCTTGACTCGGACCTCACCTTTCTTCCCAACATCCAATCACTATCCAAGTCATGCCACCTTCACCTTAGTAACATCTCCAAAATACGCCCCTTCCTCACCAAAGAAACCGCAAAATTACTCAGACCACTCGCTGGTTATATCTCGTCTTGACCATTGCAACTCCCTCCTCATTCTCCTTCCACTACACAGGATATCCCCTCTTCAGTCTATCATGAATGCAGCTGCTTGACTCATCCACCTAACCAACCGCTCAGTGTCTGCAACCCCCCTCTGTCAATCCCTGCACTGGCTTCCAGTAGCCCAAAGGATCAAATTCAAAATATTAACAATCAGTTACAAAGCCGTCCACAACTCCGCCCCCGGCTATATCTCAAACCTGGTCTCAAAGTATCACCCTAACCATCGGCTCCGCTTATCCAGCTCCCTTGTCAACTCCTCCCATGCTCGCCTCCAGGACTTCTCTAGAGTCTCTCCCATCCTCTGGAATTCTTTACCCCAATCTGTCCGTCTGTCGCCCACCTTGACTGCCTTTAGGCATTCCCTAAAGACTCATCTCTTCAGGGAAGCCTATCCCACCTCAACCTAACCGCTCAACCATCACGTTCTCAAACAACTCATCCCCACACAGCTCACTCCTCATGTATCCCTTCCCCCTCCCTTTTAGATTGTAAGCCCTCAGGGACAGGGCCCTCCTTTCCATCTTGTCTTGATTTGTATTGTGATTGTAATGTCTTCCCTATATTGTAAAGCGCTGCACAAACTGTTGGCGCTATATAAATCTTGTATAATAATAATAATAGTGTCTTTACTAAAGGGTCTATTATCAATGTTTTCACCCAAGATTCATACTCTTTTTCCACATTTTCCAGATTCAAGTAGGTAAATGTGAGAATCTTGGGTGACAACAGTGATAAATATACCCTTAATGGGTTACCCCAACAGCATACATGAAAATAAAACAGTTTAGTAGTCTCAAGCATGACAATGTTAAAGAAGCAGCACAAGAAGTAGAATATTCCACTTTAATGAACTAAAATATTCTGACACTGTACAATTATAATATGTCTTTCATAAATCATTTCTAATCATGTTCAAGTCAA